CCTATTTATAATAGTGTGATACAGATTTTGTTCCTTCGGATTAATTAGTCGTGAGCCCCGTTCCAAAAGCGAGGTGGGCAGTATATAGCCATCAGGTTTAAGTCCCCACAGTGATTTTATTTTATAGTGGTTTAATCGTTTTCTAACCAACACTGCTGTTCCGCAGCCGTACATTTCCATCAGGGTGGTTTGTGACGTAGAGTATAAATCCGGATATAAAGAAATTGTTTTTATTCGTAAGATGAGTTTCTAACAATAGCTCTACATCCATATTATTTTCATCCACAAACCTAATAAGTTCCATTTTATGTTGGTTAACTCCATTAGCATTCTATATACAAATGTTCAATACTCTCATTTTTTACTTAAAAAAGTTTGCAGCATTTCGTTTTTTTGATTTAATTGTCTCTTGAATCATATTTTCAATGCTTCCATTTAGTTGGTATTGGGGCAATTGCGTTTGTGCAGTGTTGGCTTTCACCACATTTGTATAGCACCCTTGTGTAGCATTATTTATAAGATTACCTGGCTTTTAAATATGGGCAAGCATTCCAATAATACAGTTAGGAGTAATATTTAATATTATATGTGATTAGGACTCGCTTAAATTCAGACAGATAATTTCGTTTGTAAGTCGTCATATACAGGGCAACCCCTATAGTTTGCTGTGTCATTTCCCCCACAAATACTATATTTTTTACTTTTTACATAAGATATAGATCAGTTGGTGCATTGCATTGGCACCTTTTTTTATGTGGTTCCTTAACGGTAATTCTACGATAGAGCAGGACAACATCTATTTTGTTTATCTATGTCAAGATAGTATAATTAGTTTTTTGATAACAGCATCAAATATTATTTTATTATGTAACCAAAATTCAAAATAGCTTCGACCGCTAGCCACCGTGACTCACCAGAGGCGGTCATGTTTACTAAATTCTGCTTTTTTGAGTATGTTTGTTAAGCGTACTTCGATTACAAAAATTTCCTATTTTTCACATATTTAGCATACGTTTTCAATATAATGTGCAAACTCCATTCATTGCTTTATAGCGCGACAATAAAAATAATAAAGGTACTCATTTAATGTGGCATTTATAGATGGTGACAAAAACGTATGTATTTGCTAAGTAAGTAGGACTGTTTTGAATTACTATGCCAAATATGATTGCGATCTGTCAACAAAGATTACCGTAAACAGGTGTCTTTGGACATCCTTGATTGTGCGAATTCCGATCCCACATTCATGAAGAGCGTAATATTTGACGATAAGACATGGGTTTATGAGTTTGACTTGCAAACATGTCAACAATCATCAGAATGGAGGAAAAACAATAACCGAAAAACTGTCGGAAACAGCCGGAATTGTTGAAGAACAATTAATGGTTTTACACGATGATAACGCACAATCGCTTCGAGCTACGATCGTGATCGAATTTAAAGCCAAACACGCAATGAATACGATCGATCAACTACCAGGTTTGGCCCCGTGTGATTTCTTCTTGTTCCCTCAACTGAAATTGCCACTCAGTGGTAGCCGTTTTCAATCGATAAAAGATATAAAATAAAATTCGCTGAAGGAGCTGAACATCCCTAAATGTGCTTATGAAAAGTGTTTCGAGGAATGGAAAAGTCGTTGGCATAAGTATATTACATCTGGTGGGGGATTATTTTGAAAGCGACAAAATAAATATTGATGAACAATTAAATATTTTKGGTTATATGTACTTATTTACAATTTCTGTGCACCGTTTTGTATAATTGTGGTGAAGTCGCAAAATGTCAACTAATAAATTCATTCTAAAGCAACCAAGTAATCCAACAGTATATGTAAAAGTACTTATACTTTCCATTTTACAACGAAAAAACCAAAAGAGCAGAGATTAAACAATTAATTATAATTTGCGGAAAAAATAAATTGCTTGTCAGGTGGGCAGAAAAGTTCGTAGGCTGATATATAAATCTAGTCAGCCCCTATTAGTTATGATATATCAGAAACTTAGGCTTACGACAAATATATTATAAAAATTGACCGCTATAATCGATGTGTCAGTCTCGAAGATAATTACATTGAATAATAAAATCAAAACTAACAAGTAAGGAAGGGCTAAGGTATTTTCGGTGAAAAATTAGGTTAGGTTAGGTTAGGAACTGAGTTCCTCGTGTTCGATATCAGGGACCTTGAAAAGTTATAGTCCGTTCACGACAATTTTTCCACAAGGGATCCCTTCAGCTCAAATACCGTATTTGTATAAAGTTCCTCTATCATCATTGGTTCCTAATGTATATATTATACAGAGAAGGCATCAGATGGAATTCAAAATTGCGTTATATTGGAAGAAGGCGTGGTTGTGAACCGATTTCACCTATATTTCGTGCATGTCATCAGGGAGTCCAGAAAATAATATATACCGAATTTCATTGAAATCGGTCGAGTAGTTCCTGAGATATGGTTTTGGGTCCATAAGTAGGCGACGCCATGCTCATTTTCAGTTTAAAAAAAAAAGCCTTTGTKCAGCTTCCTTCTGCCATTTCTTCCGTAAAAGTTAGTGTTTCTGAAGTTTTTTGTTAGTCGGTTAACGCACTTTTAGTAATTTTCAACATAACCTTTGCATGGGAGGTGGGCGTGGTTATTATCCGATTTCTTCCACTTTTGAACTGTATATGGAAATGCCTGAAGGAAACGACTCTATAGTTTATAGAGAGTTTGGTTGTCATAGCTATAAGAGTTTCCGATATATGTACAAAAAACGCCCACTTTTCCAAAAAAAAATTACGTCCAAATATGAACCTCCCTAATGCTTTACACTTACACTTTAATATCTTTATTTATAACTTAGTTATGACACTTTATAGGTTTTCGGTTTTCGCCATTTTGTGGGCGTGGCAGTGGGCCGATTTTGCTCATCTTCGAACTTAACCTTCTTATATTATTCAAGTTTCCTCATATCTCAATTTTTACTCAAGTTACAGCTTGCACAGACGGACGGACAGACAGACATCCGCATTTCAACTCTACTCGTCACCCTGATCACTTTGGTATATATAACCCCATATATCTGACTCTTTTAGTTTTAGGACTTACAAACAACCGTTATGTGAACAAAACTATAATACTCTCCTTAGCAGCTTTGTTGCGAGAGTATAAAAAAAATTTTTCTTTGTTAGCCTGCGAAGTTTTCAGCCAACCTGCTATGATACAAGTCTGCGCCATTAAATGTGGATTAATAGTAATAAAACTAAGGAAGTCTATAATCGATAATAAAGGATGATCAATTTTAAGGTTCCCAACGTTTTTAAAGAAAAAATACAGAAATTTCTAGTTTAATGAGAAGTGTTTATTATCATTCAAAAGAAAATTCTTTGGTTTCTATTTTATGAAGATTATCTCCTTCAACTGTTGGCCGCTACGTCTCAGATGGTCTATTTGTGGAGTACAATTTTCAATGGCTCGTTGGAGCATTTCGACTAATGACACACGTCATAGTTTTCTGAAATGAAATTATCTGCTCACCGAAATATTATCTCAATAAATCCATTGTTATCATGACAAAATAAAATCAGGTAACAATGCTAATGCAACTGTCAGAAATTCTAAAAGAAAGCAGTGAAAAATTCATTAAGCTACAATTTACTTTTTCTAACTGTTTGTCGGTTTATCGATACAAAATATTCACACCGACAGCTTTTACCCTATACTAATAACTATTTTCTCAGGCGCATTACCAGTGAAAAGTGATATTTTAATGTTAGTAATCGCTTCCATCAAAAAAAAATGCCCCACATGACAACAAATGAGTGTTTTTTTTATCAGCCCATTACGAAATTGAAGAAAAGGCAGACAAAAAAAAAATACGTAACACAAAAAGTTTTCAACGCGACCTAATTCATAACAATACACCAAAATTTTATAGACACTATGCTGCTCAATGGGATTAAAAATTCAAACGCTACATAGCCAAATTCATGTCTTCTCGGCCTTGAACTCCCAATGATCAATCAGATCGTCTAAGCTATTGCATATATATCGGACCCAACTATGACCTCATAAAATAAATAATAATTGAAGGTGTTGAAAAACAAATGAAACACACTTCCAGTTAAAACACTGTTTTTATTTGAATACTAAGTGGGCAAGTTGCAAAAAAAAATCACTTTCTATTTTCGGGAGCAAGAGAAATTATATTGAACATTTTTATTTTTTTTTTAAATTTTATTTTTTGAACATTAATTTTCCAATATTTGGAAAAGAAAGTGTAACAAAAATACTGGATATTCAATGAAATATGAAAATCTGACCAGTTCTCCTGCACTACTGGCCAATGGGTCTAGTCATTGAATCCGTTTCGATCCGATCGAATCAAATTACTGTCTCGATCGAATCAAATTACGCTGCAAACCGTATGGAATGCAAAATTTTCGTTGAAGTTGAACTTACTTACCGACCCGATAATATACACTCCGCGCATAATATATGCTGCTAAATGCTCGAAGTCTATTCGTAGATGCGTAAATTGCGGATAATTAAAAATAATAATAATAATAAAAATAAGGCATTTATAAATATTTATGTGAAAAATTTAAAAAGGACTGAAAAGTATTCAAAAAATATCAACAATAAGAGGCCAATTAAGGCAATTTATTCCCTGCCCCAATTACAAAATGAATTAAAAATTATTAAAACTAAAATCGTGTACAGAAAAGATTGGGAGTTTTTTTCTAGGATAATAAGGCTCCATAAACCTCAAATATATAGTCATACGATTTTTGTATATGGTTTTGTGCTCACAGGTAAGAACAATCTGAAGCCCCCCTCAGGGCAGCCTTGCCGGCTTAGGTCAAAATAAAGAAATAGGTGTAGTTTCAATTAAAACTTCATTTTATTTCAAAAGAAAATATAAAAAACAAAAGAAGAATTTCAATAACTAGAGGAATTCAAATAATAAAGTTAATTATTTTTTGTGATGATAGTCAAAAAAAAAGTTTTTCGTAGTCGAGCAGCATAAATTTAGTTTACATTTGGAACAAAAACACTGCGTCTGAACTTAGACACAATTTACATTTTCTTTTTCCACCGTCTTTAGGAAGCCAAATGGGAAAGTGATCATATTGATCAAAGTGGACATCCGCAACTAGATGTTCTGCTCTTTTCTACATTTCGTTTAGTTGTTGATGGTGGGAAACTTGGCCGACTAGCAGGACGATTGAGTTTGTAAGCGATAAGACAGCAGCAATTTTTTCACTGAACTCGGGTAACTTTAATAGCTTGTCATCTTGTGCAGATAGATTGTTGTTGAAATTTTCGTCGATACAAAATATATGCATTTGTCGCAGCCATATCTACAAAATGGTAAAAAAAAACGTGTTATCAGATTTCGAGTCTTTGCGTGGATACCGTAACGACCAATAAGTCCATCCATTAAGTCCTATCCCCCCATATGGCTATTATATTCCCGTATTTTGGGGGCAATCTACTTCAATATGCTGCTTTTGTTTTCGATCGTAGCGTGAAACTTTGGCCGATTGCTCGTTCTCATTTTCGCTTTTAAATAGCTGAACGCCAACGTAAGTTGATGTCAATCGGACTGTCTTGTTGTCTTTCCACAAAACCGTGTTAATATCGAAACCATATGCAACACCAACGTACTCAATTGAGTATCCTCTTTCTTCGTTCTTTACATCCTTATCCTTATCGTGCCCAAGGTGTAGATGCCGCGATACACAAAATCAGTTTAGTCACACAAGACGAACAATTTTATTCCCCACTTGTGTGGCTTATTTGACATATACTGCCGAAGGTGATGTTTTAATCTTGTGCTACACACTTGCTCATCGACACAAAGACGAGCAGGCTTTGGAGCAGAATCAAACCGTTTGTTGAGTTCATCTGACAATTTTCAGATACGAAACAATGGACCATATCCTGGTTTACCTTTTTCAATCCTCTCGCTTTCATCTCTAAAAGACAAATATCTTTTTATCGCCAAAAACTGTTTTACAGTCATTGTTTTTTGAATTAGAGTGAAAGCAATTTTACCCCAATAGCTTTCCAAATTCGGATAACATTAAGCGGACATATAAATGATTACGCCAATGTATTTAAAAATTCTTTCAGCGTCGATCTTAAACTGGCTGTTGACGTTTTTAGAATAAGCTGCTCGATTTGTTTCTTCCACAATCAATAGAACTAGTTCTCTTTTTAAAAAGATAGCAGAACATTTCCATCGGTGTATTTTGTTTTGCAAACTTTGAATGAAAAACATATACCTGAACCTGTAAAACCAMCAGAAGAGGGAATAACTAAGGGACCAGTTGTATTGCTGTCAATGACCTTTCTGTGGTAGAGGAAGACGCTTCAGGTATTTCAGTAAGCCTTGATGATCCTACAGGTATAGCATCATTTGAACTTATGTTTAAGGACATATCGGTGATTTGTTTAAATGAATCGGTTGCTTCATTCGGTCAGGCAGTCTTCGTGTTCTTAAAACTCGAAATACTTTTTATTTTTTATTAAAAAGTATATTAACTTAAAATATATTAACTTACTTGATCGCAAAAAAATTCTTCCGTATGAATATTTTGATAAAATACTTTTTATTTTAATTTGGAAAATTTTAAAAACGGCGCTGCAATTAATTGACCTTTAACACTGAATTTCTGTATTCAACTACTGAATTCAACTGAAACCGATAAAAACAAAACGAAACGTCACAATACATTTGTTGATACTAAGAAAATTTGAGTTGATGCATTATCTAACGGTTCTTATAAGAGTTGTGGACAACAAAAAATTGTCTTAGGAATTTGTGAGAATTTATTAAAGGCGGCCTCAGGACGGTCTTGCCTGTTAGAGGGTTAAGGTCTGCCAAGCAATGGCATTCAAAATATAAGGCGGACAAACAAAATAACTATTTAAAAAGAGATGGAGGCAAATGTTTCGAATGTGCTAAACATGCTTACGAAAATTTTAGACCAAATTTCTTTCCGTATCGATAAACTTTTTAGCTCATGGTAAAGTAGATTATCGGTACCAATTACTATTATTATTTTTTTTTTTTTGATTTTTAACTCATGGTAAAGTAGATTATGTGTATCAATTATCGCATGAATATTTTCGAGCAAAAACTCCTCAATATTTTAAATTTTTTACATAGTAGTAGATTTACCAATAGATAACCATGTATTGACATTCACTTTTATGTAAGGCTACTGAATTATGGGAACTGATATAATTGCACTGAATATTATAACAATATTTCGCTTTGTAGATGAATACAGAAGCTACAATATTTTAGAGATCTCGAAAAAAATTTACTAGGAAACCACAGCGTTTTGACACAGTTGTTAGTATTATTTATTAATAATAACACATTAAGGACCATGCAAAMTATGTTGAAAAATTTCATAACAAAAAAGTATGAAAAAGTGAATATAAAATTGAAAATTCATAAGATTTTCAAAGGAAAGATTATGGAAATCAATTTGATCAGTACTTATTCAATTCGTACAATTTTACATAAATAAATTCAGAAAATTTTCTTAGATATACTATATATATTCATCGTATTAAGACACCTCTTGCCAACCTAAAAATGAATTGGATGAAAACAAGTAATACTGGTAGATAAGGCTACGAAATATAGGGTAGTCTTTTCGTATTTTGTCAATAGATGTGGTTGCAGTCGTGTATCTCCAGTTGTACCAATCACATTGTGTCATACCATTTAGTGTTCGGCGAAAGGGAAAAAAGGCAACATCTGCTCAAATATAAGTGAAAATAAAAAAGGGGAAGAATGCCCTTGCCCATGAAGAAATTCGCTCCATTTTGAAGTTTTTTTTTTATAAAAAATGGAAGTTTACGGAGAATGTATCACTATCAGTTCGTGTAGCACAACAATGGTTCGCTCGCTTCCGTTCTGGAAATTTCGATATGAAAGATGCACCTGGCTCTGGTCCACTTATCGTTGAAAAAGCCGATGAAATTATGGAAAAGAGTGACTAGTACCGTCATATAAGCAGCCATAACATCTCTAACTTAACATTCATCATCAAGCAATTATGAACGATTTAAAAAAGGCTGGCTACAAAAAGAAGATCGATGTTTGGATACCACATGAATTGTCTGCGAAAAATTTAATGTACCGAAATAGTTTCTTCGATTCTTTGCTGAAACGAAATGAAATCGAACCATTTCTGATTCGAATGGTAACAGGAGACGAAAAGTGGATCCAATATGACAATAATATGCGAAGAAGATCATGGTCCAAGCGTGGTGAAGCTCAACAAATCGTTGCAAAGCCAGGATTGACGCCTCGAAAGGTTAGGCTGAGTGTTTGCTGGGATTGGAAAGGAATCATCCACTATGAGCTACTCCAGCCTGGTTGAACGATTGAGTCTACATTTTACTGTCAACAACTTAAGAGATTGAAGCAAGCAATCGAAAAAAACGGCAAAAACTGATCAACAGAATGGGCTTTGTGTTCCATCAGGACAACGCTAGACCATACACATGTTTGATGTTTTGGCAAGAACTGGGAGAGCTTGGCTGGGAAGTTTCGTTGCAACCACCAGATAGTCCTGACCTTGCATAATCGGACTACCATTTGCAGAACTACCTTAATGGAGTTACTTGTAGCAGTTTTTCACCGAGCAACTAGAAAAGTTTTACTGTTGACAGAAAAAGAAGATGTGACCGAAGATGAATTATATGAGCGCTTGTTTTTGTTTAGTATTTTCGACATATTTTACTGTTTTACTATCAAAACGTAAATATGTAGTTCAAGCAAGGCAAAATTATGCGATGTGTACGGAGAAGATGTGTTGACCGAACGCCACTGCCAAAATTAATTTACAAAATTACGTTCCAGAAATTTCGATATTAAGGATGCACTGCGTTCTGGATAGACTCTTCAACCCCATGCGGATAAAATAAAGTCGTTGGTCGATGTAAATTGTTGAATAATAACTTGAGAGATCGCTGCAAAATTAAATTTGTCTAACGCAAGCGTTCACGTTACACAATAAAAAAACTATCGTATTTAAATAGCACTAAAAACCGAAATTACTTAGGTAACGACACATAAGCATATTCGGTATATTATATTAAGAGATTTTAGAATAATAAAAAACCTAATTATAATTATGTACCTTCTTATGGTGTTTAACGGAATATGTATGTCCGTGGCTCTAATATATCCTGATGACGACTTTTCTGAACCAATTCTTATAAAAGTAACAGACTTTGGGGACAAGCATACATGATAGTTTCCTATAATTTTCCTTTCTTCTGCCAAGCTTTTCTTTTGTACTACCACTTGCCAAACGTGATCTGAAAATACCAAATATTAAATATGTTAACTAAGCATTAAAATATGTAATTGTTTATAAACAATTTAACATAAGCCTCAGACTTATTTACTTCGTTTTGTGTGGTATCGCAAATATTTAAATATATTGAATACAACATAACCTCATATTACTACCGAGTAAAAGTGCATAACGACATAATGAATAACATTATACTTATCGAAACATTGTCGTATATTTTTAGCGAGATATCTCGCATTAAAATCGATATAAACTTAACCAAGGCGGACAAACTTTAATATAGTATGGAGTATGTAAGAAAGAAGTCAACCGCAGAGGCAAAATTTTACTATTAAGCTATTCACGATAAGGTGGTTATTGAGTTATGTAGCTATGTGATTAAGTAAACAACAACAAAATACGGTATGACACAATAACCTACCTAGGCCCTTGTTTACAGATTATGTGGTTGTTTGCTTATTTCCAGTGTTACAAAGTCGTTGGAAATTAACTAAATGGCAGCAAAAAATAAATAAATAAAACTAAGCGAATGGCATTTCCATTTAGATTTTCTTATTGGAAAATCTGCTTTTAACAGCTGTTTTTTTTACAATCAGCAAATTAAACCCGAAATAAAAAGCATCAAATATCATCAAGTAAGAATCACAAAGTACAAAATAAATATAAATTTTGTGTCATTTATTTATACTGAAATTTTTGTATCTAAAGAAATACGAAAATGCCGACGAAAAATGGACGGAAGCCGAAATCAAAACAGTGCTGTGCTATATGCAGGAACACCGACACATCGAGGCGAATTTTCGACACATTAGTTATTTATTTTGATTTAATTACATCTCCTTTAATTTCAGAAACCAACAGTGAAAATCTATTATAGTAAGTTGCTTGTACAAAAATTTAAGCGACATGGAACATTCTAAAATGTAAGGTTCGGTATTTAAAAAGCCAAATGAAATCGGCAGAACATTGGCTAAATTCCTCGGGCGCTGGAGTAGAGGATGACGATGTGGAGCTGACAGTGATGGGTACATTCTATATATATTTTAACCCTTCGGTGCATGATTTAATTTCCGTGAGAATAAAAATTTTTTTGAATCAAATTTTTAATGTGTTCTATTATAATATGACAAATTTTAAATTTTATAATTGTCGTGTTTCTAGCAACAGAGTTACGTAACATTGCACATATGCAATATCATGCAGTAAATCTAATAAATTTTCAAGGAGGGTACTGAATGAATATGCTCTTTATTTTATCGAATGAAAGTGGACAGAAGTGMATTCATTACTGTCCACAAATGTTGGCCAGTGGTCCATTTGTTTCAACCGTACTTCAGTTTTAGTGATAGGGCCACTTCTCTGGTGGTTTCTATAGAAATAAAGTATAAGGATTATACTTATACGTCGCAAATACCACTTCTTAGAGCGTATTTCGATGTTGTATCGGCCTATGAAGGAATCTAGCAAATCAACACCCTCCATAAACTTGTTACACTTTGATAGAACGTTTGGGCAAGCGACACTTATTTTCTGTCCAAATATCGCATCATACAGTTAAACTGCTAGTTCTGGAGTTTTGCCACAGTAGTTTGAAATTAAAAGTAACAATAGTATTACCTCTTTAATAAACTACAGATATGTATAAGAAAGTTGTCCACGTTTGCATATTTAAGGGATTTTTCGTTGGCTTTTTTCATCGGAATTTCTCGTCCAGAAGCTTTAAATTGGATGATCCGAATGAGTAAATTCCACGTTTACATAGGTGCCAAAAGATGTGTAGTAATTTAAAAAAACAAAAAAAAAAAAAAAAAAAAAAAA